AACTACTTCTTTGGAAAAGGGTCCTTTTTTAGACTTGACCTAAGCCAGTGAAGGAATATTAATAGAAACTCTTGAATCCAGGGCTATACATAAATACTCTTTTAGAAAAATTATTTTTATGCATAAAGAACTGCTTTTTCTGACAATCATTAACATTTGATTTCCCTTTTCATGTCATTCAAGGCAAGAGTAATATTCAGAACACTCAAAAAAGTCATGTGGAAATAAAAGAAAATTATGTTTGAGCGTGTTGGGTTCTCCAGCGTATTGTGTGCCTGTCTTTCCCGGCACAATAGTATGATTTATTTTGTAAACATCCTGATTTTTTCAGAATGAGTCATTGTTAATATAGAAACCAGCTGACTCATCCGTCCATCAGTTAATGTACTTGTTTCCCCTTTTTTCTCTCTGTATGTCTATCATTATACTAAAAAGATACTAGGAATTCTTTCATTTATCATTATACTAAAAAGATATTAGGAATTCTTTCATTTCAATTCTTCCCCTTTGGTCTTGTCATTTGTTTCCAAGTAATATGGTAAAGCTGTCATAAACTTTGTGATGGTTCAGATTCTTGATCATGATATTGAGCCAAAAACTTGAGTTCACACCCAGTCCTCCAGTATCTCAAATCTGATGCCTCCCATATAGGAGGTGAACAGAGAATCCAGAAAGGATCAGATAGAAAGGACATCTTTTCTGACCCTGAGAAAGGCCAATCAGACTTTGGATTCTGGTAATAGACCCATAAGAACTTACTTAAAAAAATTATTTGATCATCTTGTTTCAACAAATCTAAAGAATCTAGTTTATCCCATCTTAAAAGATACTTGCCTAGGAGATTGAGTTCCTTTTAATATATTAATGTGTTAGGCACATGTCTTGTTATTTGTTCCAGATGTCTCCAAGGAAGAGAGCGGTAGATAAGAAGAAATGAAATATTACTTGGAACCAAACGATGATTTTAGAGGGGGAACCATTAGCTCAGAAGTCAACAGAATTAAATGTTTGTCACCGAGGTCTCACCAGTGAGTTGAATGGCTCTGTCATTTATTTGCTTTCTTCTGCCTCAGTTTCCTCTTCAGTAAAATGAGATTCTTCCCCTGACTGAAATCTCACTCTTAAGACCCATTGTCCCTTTTCTTCTTCTTTCTCTTTTGACCCAAACTTGTGACACTAAATCATCCCCGTTATTATGGACTTCACAATTTACTATTCAGTAGCCATCATGTATTAAATGCAGTAATTATTATTAGCTGCCTTAATAGTTCCCATTCTAAACTCTATCAGTGGAGAAAACTGTGAATTAAAAAGATTTAGGTTTATTATAAATTGTTTCTAAGACAACTCAGAGAAATCATTTGTCATAGACTAACTTTGTCATAGTGGCTCCTGTCTAAGCCACTGTGCTATTGACTTTCAGGAGATTCCCAAGAAACTAAATTGCCCTTACCAAATTAGCTTTTTAATATATAGGCGCTGTAGACACATAGCCTGCCTGCTTGTTAAAACACGTAGTCGATCAAAATTATATCCTAGCATCATTAGCTTTTAAATACTAGAAATCATCTCAGTGCTTGGAGAAGTCTGATGAGCATGATTACAGGTGGAGATTTTCAGACAGAATATATCAGAGAATGTGAGAAGAATAAAGAATTTTTGACATGCTTTGCCATTTTTTGTTGCGGTTTCATGTTATGTCTTTACTTGTGGTAATAAAAACAACAATCAGTGGAAAGATAACATATTATTTTACCCCTGCCCCCCAGCCCAGTACTGCATTGGAAAATTTTCCTGTTGAATGAATGGTTGTGAAGTCAGGAGGAGATTCTAGGTTTCCTTTCAGAGCCAACACATTGTTGTAGTAGGTGGAACCATAACGTTGCCACGTTGGTCAGAAATCACTGGCTGCCTGCAGCTTCAGATGGCTCAAGCTAAGGAGACTTGGGTGTGAATGTCAGCCCTGGGAGTCACTTGTATTTCAGCTCAGGGCAGTTACTTAACTTCTGAGCCTTGGTTTGTGACGTGGGAATAGCACCCTACTCAGTAGAGCTGATGCAAAGCTTAGCGATGACGTATGAAAGCACTGTGTCTGGCGATACGAAATGCTCAAGAAAGGGTTAATAATACAATATTATAATCAATGTAAGTAACTCAGCGAGTTTCTTCACTCGCCCTTTTGCGATTTCTGCATATATGGCAAAGGCGACGGTTGCTATGGTGGAGAGAAATGGAAAATGTCTGTGAGGCGAGCACGATTTTTTAAAGCCCCAATAGCTTTAAAAGGCCTTCTATTCCCGTCCTGTACGCTCTGGTATGTCCTAGTAAGGTCACAGATAAAGTATGACATATACTCAGTGGAGTATCTAAATAGGAAATGTACTGAAGCAAATCAAGAACAGAGTTTAAAAGAAAAAAAAATCAAAGCACTGAGCAAACATTCTTAACTTTTGGCAGAGGAACTGGACTGCCTGAATCCCCGTGACTCTTTGAGTTATTAATAGTGACTCATTTTGCCATATTTGGGGCAGTTATATATTTATATATCATGCAGCGTGCGTGAGGCTTTCAAGGCTCGATGGCCTTTTGAAAAATGTGTTATTCTGGAACAGAGCGGGGCCAGGAGGATGGCGCTTTGTCGTCTGTGTGGCACCTGCCACGCTGCACTCATTAGACAGATGCTCAGGACGAGGTGGGACCCGCAGCAGCACTGCCTGGAACGCGGCTCCCATCTGCTCTGCCAGAAGCCATGGTGAAGTCATGAGTTGCACAACAGTAGTAATTCGCAGCTATTTATGACCATTTTAATAGCGAAGGTCTAGATTAGAAGGCTGTGTTTACATGCCGTGCGGCAGAATGGTTCCATGAATCATTCCCACAGTAACTTTTGGTCCAACCAATCAACCAAGTCATGAAAAACCAACCAGTTGGTCCTGAAGCTGAGATGAACAGGTCTCCAAGTTAGCCTCCACTTGCCTGCTGCTCCTTGAATCTGAGACTGGATGGACTCCCACCCACAAGGACACAGCCGCCCCTCCCTGTCCTCCTGGCAAGCCAGGGTCTTGCCGCCACCCCCCCCAACCCGCCCCCCCTCCACAACCACACTCAAAACCCTAAGATATCAAGGGAGTCAGAGGAGTTTGGAAACTCCTGAAGAACACCTGTAAACAAACGTAATTTAGAAAACATGTCTATGCTTAGCATATGTTTATTTTCTCATTGTCATTGCACCATTGTGTGACTTCAATTAATGACCCTGACAGCTCATTTGCATCAAGATCAGTAAAACACTTTCATTTGTCCCTTTGCACTGACTGGAGGCGTTAGTTAATTATCACTTCCTGGCAGCCTGAAGGTCAGACTATTTCCTTTCGTTTCACATGGCAGTTAATCCCCTCATTAAGGGTGATGGAAAATGAATAATTAAACTTCTGCCATTTTCACATTTCAGGTAATGAGAGGCCCTGAGATCCCAGAGGGACCATATGAGAATTCTGGACAGTGCTGAAGACTCTTCCTGCAGACACGTGAGTTTCTCTCCTCTGGTCTTATGATAAAGTAGGTTCAGCTAAGGTTCTTCCCCTAAAGGAAAACAAAACAAAGTGAAGACAGATACTGGGCTCAGCTTTGCCACTCACTGGCTGTGTGACTCGGGGAAAGGCAGCTCACTCTCTGACATTAAAGATTTTCTCAATTGCAAAATGGAGAGAATAAAATCCAATTTAGAGAACTGTTGTGAGCATTAAATGCTTGAATAAATGGTACTTATAAGACTGCATGCCATATAGTAAGAGCTCAATGAATATGGATGAATTATATTGTCACTTTCATTATCACCCTGGACCAGTCATCGTCCAAATGTTGTGGTTATTAGTCCTCAGCCAAAGACCTGCCTCACACCTGGGTCAAAAGTTCACTTTAACCCACTGGGGCAAAGATCACCTCACACCAGTCAGAAGAGCCATCATTAAAAAGTCCACAAATGATAAATACTGGAAAGTGTGTGGAGAAAAGGGAACCCTCCTACACTGTTGGTGGGAATGTAGTTTGGTGCAGCCATTATGGAAAACAGTATGGAGATTCTTCAGAAAAACTAAAAGTAGACTTACCATATGATCCAGCAATCCCACTCCTGGGCATATATCCAGAGAAAACTCTAATTCAAAAAGATACATGCACCCCAGTGTTCATAGCAGCACTATATACAATAGCCAAGACACGGAAACAACCTAAATGTCCATTGACAGATGACTGGATAAAGAAGTTGTGACATATTTATACAATGGAATACTACTCAGCCATAAAAAATAAAATAATGCCATTTGCTGCAACATGGATGGATCTGGAGATCGTCATTCTAAGTGAAGACAGGAAAGAGAAAGAAAAATACCATATGATATCACTTATATGTGGAATCTAAAAAAAAGACACAAATGAACTTGTTTACAAAACAGAAGCAGATTCACAGACATAGAAAACAAACTTATGGTTACCAGGGGGAGAAGGGAGTGGGAAGGGATAAATTGGGAGTTCAAGATTTGCAGATACTAACTACTGTATATAAAATAAACAAGTTTATACCATATAGCACAGGGAACTATATTCAGTGTCTTGTAGTAACCTATAATGAAAAAGAATATGAAAACAAATATATGTATGTATATGTATGACTGAACTATTATGCTATACACCAGAAACTGACACAACATTGAAAACTGACTATACTTCAATTTAAAAAAAAAAGAAAATTAAAAAATTGTGTTAAGTCCTGGAGAAAAAACCCAGGTCTTAGGGAATTCAACTTTTACCCATCCTCTTCTAATTACTCTAAAAAGATGTTTTGGAGGCAGAAGGTGGTGGAAAGTAGGACAGGATAGATGGGACCCAGAAGGCCATCCCTGGGGAGGGAAGGTGCCTCTGGCTCTTCCCTCCATCTCCATCTCACTAGAGCTGGCTCACCCTGGATTCCCCCCCCCCCGGTCCTGGTCTGTTAACTTTGTACTTTGACTCCTGTCAGTGTTGGAAAATACTCCTTGTATCTTCCCGTAAAGGGTAGAAAAATATCCTAACAATGATGCAGTTAGCAGGTTTTATCATTTTTAATTGAAAAACTTAGAAACTTAGAAAATTCAGTCTGGAAGAGAACATGATATCCTTTCATCCTTTTGCAGAAGGGGAGACAGGACCAGAGGGTACGCCACCAAGGAAGGCCACCCAGCTGTGTACGTCAGACCCATTGCTCAAGGTAAGTGCTTGGACCGCCTGGTCTGAGCGCTTTCTGCTTTGCCGCAAAAATCCCCAAAGACCATCCTATTGCTGACATAGAAGAGTTGGTGTTTTCCATTTTTTCTTTCTAAAGTCAAGAACTGTTGTCTCAGATAAATTCCTTGTATTTCTCCTTTCTGCATAATTTTTTCCTGTTCATGGAATGAAATCTTTAACTGCCAGGCAAGTCTTGTGTTGAAGACACCGTAACCCAGGGGGCGAGTTCCATAGTGGGAAGGAAAGTGGGTTCATATGGGAAACTGCTCTGGCCAGCCTGCTCACCTGGCGTTGAGGTAAGGCAGATTCACAGAGCATCAGCAAACCGCCAGCTCTGAACTGACCCGTGCCCACGCTGACTGTCACCCGAGGCCCCTGAGGCGAGGCCTGGAGCCTTCCGCCAGGGAGTCACAGAGGTCAATCCTGCCCCCTCCCCTCTGTGTAAGGTCTCTGAGGGGGGCCTAATAGGATTCTAGTACCAGATCCTACATGGGACAGGGTTTCCCAAACCACCACGCAGTTCTCAGCCACTATCTGGGGGTCCTACACTTCAACTCAATTCTGACATTACCTACCTGGAGATATAGCATCAGATCCTGCAGGTTAAGGGCTCAGTCCTACAAGACGGCCTCCCCTCCTCCATGCCAGATGCCAGTCACAGGTCCAGGTTGCCACCAGGGCTCTGACACACCGCTGCAGATTGGGGATTCCCACTACCCCCTCTTTGGATTCTATTAATTTGCTAGAACGGCCCACAGAACTCAAGGAAACATTTTCTTATTAAATCACCTGTTTATTATAAAAGGATATAACTTAGGAACAGCCAGATGGCAGAGATGCTTAGGACAAGGTGTGGGGAAAGACTGCAGAGCCTCCATGCCATCTCTGAGGCCACCACTCTCCCCTGATACCCGCATGTTCACCCACCTGGCCTCTCAGACTGCCTACTGTTTTCACATGAGCAGGCTTTTATATTCTGGAGTCTTCCTCATGTAGCATGATCAATTATTAGCTCCACTTCCGGCCCCTCTGCCCTCTCCAGAGACGTGGAGGGCGGGGCTAAAGATTCCAAGCTGCTGATCATGGCTCGGTCTTTCCAGTGAAGAGCCCCCATCCAAGAGCCCCGCCCACCCAGAGTCGCCTCATTAGAAATAAAGATGCTCCTAGTGCTCTTGTCAGTCAAAAATTTTCAAGGGTTTTAGGAGCCCTGTGATATGTATTTCTTATTATAAATCACAATATCACAGGGCCCCTCCCCCTGGTTTTGTACAGGGCACCTGTCAGCCTCAATACCTTATTCTCCACCTTTTCTAGAAGAAGCTTAAAGAAAAAACAAAATTCCTCCTGTCAGAGCATGCTTCTTTTCTTTTTCCTCCAAACTTTTTTTTTTTGCATCTCAGGCCCTGCCTCTCATGAAAAGGGAAATGGCATTTCTCCACCGTGGTGTACACACTTCAGTGCCCACAGCGCCCCCTGCAGGACGCCTTCTCCCCAGACCAGTTTCTCTCTGTATATTAAGAACCCGTGCTGGGGAGTCAGTGCCCTGGACCAGGCTCCGGCACAGGAAGTCCTGGTCATGGGAAGCTGTGAGCTTAATTAACAGAAACTCAAACAGTTGTTTAATATTAAAGTGTGCATAGGGCAACTGTGCAATCGAGATTCTTTGTAAGGCCGTAATTTTTTAGCACAACCCAGGGAAGTACCCAAGGCGCGTGTTTCCATGAGCGTGTTGTTCTATTAAACACAGGCCGATGAGGCGATCTGTCTGGATGTCTGGCTTGATGATATTTCCATCTGAAAATTGGGTCAAATAGAAATATAAAGATAGGTGGTAGGTTTCTTAAGCTCAATTCTCTTCTTCATATAATGGAAATGTCAACTTTTTCTGTAAACTGTTAAATTTTCAGAATTAGCTAGAACTTTGAACCTTTTCATTTTATGACCATCTTAAAGTTTTGACATTTGGCTCATCAGACCCTTAGTCTTTGTTACTACCGTGTCTCTGGTCCACGGATTTCCTGTCGGGCCACGGATGATGAGGCTAGCTGGATCTTCTAATTCCTAGCATTCATCTCATTTCTGCTTTCTTTCTGACAGTTTTTTTAAATTAAAGATATTTAGCTTTGTCTTTATTTATTTAAAAAAATTTGGGGGGTAATTAAATTTCTATATTTATATATTTTAATGGTGGTTTTGGGGATTGAACCCAGGACCTCGTGCATGCTAAGCACACACTCTACCACTGAGCTATAGCCACCCACTCCACCCCCAATGATGCTTTTTAACTTACGATTCTTTAATTAACTTTGGAATCATCCGGCACAGCCTTACATTGAATCCAGCAAAGACTGAGTTGATTCTTCACTCAGTCATTCACAGCATGCGTAGGATGCCAACTGTAATACCAGGAATGCTCAGTGCTGAAGAAATTGTGATGAGTAAAAATACTTGTGGTCCCATGGAGTTTACATTCCAGTTGAGCAGCCAAGCAATAATCAAATGATCATACCATAGCATATAATTAAAATAGTTTTAAATGGGATAAAGGGAAAAATATGAATAAGTTAAGACCTAATTTCCAACGGTTGCAGTTTTATCATTTGGGATCCTCTCTGTGGAATTCTATTCATACAATTTAAAAATTTTGATGGTGAAAATTAAAATAAATGTAAAGTTTACAAACACTTATTCATTATGTGGAACTGTATTGGTCACTTTTCATTTTCTGTCCAGCACTCCTTCCTCTTTGTTTTGGTATCAAAGCCCATCCCAGTTATCAAAGATGGTCACATGATCAACAAGAGGACGATTTGAATCCATCTCCAGGATTTTTCTAAGTGGAAACGCTGGGGAGGTTTTCCCCGTGCTGGTCGTGGAGGGAAGGGGTATGAGCCTGGGCTGCAGTTGTCCGCGCCCATCCTCCTCTACCCTCAAACTCTCCGCTAGTACCTTTGAACTCAGACAGAGTGAAGTCAGCCTGCAGAGAGAGGCAGAGATCAGAGGCAAAGAGAATCCCAAAGTGGGAGTTCCTGGCTTTAGTCCAGTCTTCTGTGGCTTTTCCTGTGGTTCAGACACAGGAGATTTTAAACTCCTATTTCCAGCTTAAGTGAGTTTGAGTCCATTTCTGCCACTTGCTAATGTTGTGTCCGCATTAATATATAAAGCAAGCTCTTAATGTTGTAAAATTTTCTTCAGGTGGCTGGGCTGCCTGGGCATATCTTCAAATGAATCCACTGAAGTACTCATTTTCTTCCTTAATCTCTTTGAAGCAAATTTTCTGTACACAAAATCCCCTAATTCCTTGTTCAAAGTCAGGGGAGGAGGGGGTGACATTGATCTTGATAATCAAGTCTTCATTGTTGATTCATCTTCATAAGAGATTCCTAAAGTTTGGCCTGGTGAGTGTCTGCGCCGGCTGTCATAAGTCAAAGGGGTTACCATACTGCATCGTATGAAGAGGCTGGGGATCTTGGCGTGATCAGAGTCTCGCCCATCTCCACGGAATGTTGTCTTGCTTTTCTGGGGCAGGTCTGTGCAACAGGACAGCATAGACTCTGCTCTAGAAGGAAGGAGGCTGTTCTCTCTTCTGCCCTATGGGACACAGGGGACAGCCCTCAGGGCCCCAATTTAAGAAGATATATTGGGGCAAACTTGTTGAGGTTTTGACCATTTTCCCAGGAGAAGCAGAGGGTGCAGTGGATCTAAGCTAGAGCACCAGAGAGGGTCGTAGCTGGGCCCCGACATCAGCTCGGGCTGAGAGACCAGGTTCCAGCAGGTGGCAGCCACAGCAGCAGAGGCCTCTTCCTCCAGTGGACGGGGCTCAGGGATTCAGGCTTAGGCCCTGGAGTCACCAGCCTGGGCTCAGCATCCCACGTGTGAGCTGGTCCTCCAGGGACTGGTTCAGATACAGTGTCCCCTGACAAAGGAAATGGGTGGAAAACTATGTTTTCCCTCCTTAAAACTCTTCTACATGCAAGTGACACTCCCGAACCAGAAAAACAGGGCCTTTCCTGCCAAGCTAGGTGTCCTGTTGAGAGAGATTTAAATTCTACACCTCAGTTTTACATTTACATATGTAAATGATAATTACCTTATCGGACTACCAGAGGGCAAAATGAGACTGGGGCAGAATGAAGTGCTATCCTGATACCAGAAGGCCCTCAAGAAATGGCGGGAGATACACACCAGCATCTGAGCTGGTGAGAAGGTTACCCTCCAGGAGCCTGGGACTGGTGGGCTTGCGCGGCGAGGAGGAATTCAAGGTGGAAGGGTGGGTGAGCGTTGCTTTCTCCAGTCGAGAACATCCAGAGCCACTGCTGGCGTGGGCTCTGGATGGGAGCAAGAGCCAGTAGGGGAAGAGCAGCCCAAACACTGCTGAGCTTCTCAGGAGCTGATTTGCATCCACTAAACCAGGACCTGAGGATGCGGGGTTAACAGTCAGAGTGGAAGCCGAACAATGGTGTTGATAATGAACTACAGATCTTTCCCAATGACTGCCTTTCCCAGGATCCTTTTTTTTTTCTCAATTTCCTCATTTTTTTTTTAAATCAGTTCTAGTAATTTTATGGTAGATTCTTTTTTTTTCTATTTTGTTTTTTATTGACATATTGTTGATTTGCAATGTTAGTTTCAGGTGTACAGCAAAGCGATTCAGTTACACATGCACATACACATTTTTTCCAGGTCCTTTTCCATTATAGCTTATTTCAGGAAATTGAATATAGTTCCCTGTGCGATGCAGCAGGTGCTCCCAGGATCCTTTCTACTCTGCACATTCCTGTTGTTCAGAGACTGTTCGGAAGCAACACAAATTTCAAATGTGCCTTGGATTACCCTTTTCCCCACATCTTTGCCAGGCCTGGGTTTATCAATTTTTTACTTTTTCTTCATCTGCTGAATCAAGCTGTAGTTTAATTTCCATTTTCCTGACCCCTGGTGAGACTGAGGTTCTTTTCACATGTTTGTTGGGCATTTGTACTTCCT